AAAGATCACTTGACGAAGATGACCACAGTGTGAGAAGGCATAACACTATACACGCCGCTCAGACCAGTGATTAATAATAACTCGTTTCACTGAACATTTGATAAAATGGTTTATTTGGGATTAGATACTGGACAAAAAGTAAGCATTACGGGAAGAATCTTGAATTAGAACGCCTGGATCACAAAAAAGCGGGTTTGCCTCAAAGAGGCGGCGGCTGGAAAGTTCCATCGAAATTGCCGGCAGGTAGTCTGTTCCGGTCGATATCGCTAAAGTATGCGTCCTTCAGAAGAGCTTTTGCGGAAATTCGTGCTCCTGGATTGTAGACAAGCATCTGCAGTAAAATTCGGAGACCATCTGTGTCCAGGTAATTTTTGAGGTCATCCTCGACGGTGCTCTGGGTCCACTGAGGAAACTCCATTCTGTAGTGCGGTAGTTTGCTCACACCTGGCCAGGTCTTTTCCGTGGGAGTCGCTAGCCTTTTGAAAATACAGTACAGCTGAGCAATCTCAGAGTCGCCCGGGAACAGTGGCTTTGTGGTGGCCAGTTCGGCGAAGATACACCCGATACTCCAAATATCCACTCCCACTGAGTAGCGCTTGCTACCGAGCAGCACCTCAGGAGCTCTGTACCAAAGCGTGAGCACTTCGTGCGTGTACATTTTGACAGGGATGTCCACCGGTCGCGCGAGTCCGAAATCAGCGAGTTTGAGGCTTCCCTTCTCGTCCAACAAGATGTTCTCCGGCTTCAGATCACGATGCAGAACGCCGCGCTGGTGGCAGAAGCAGATCGCCTGGAGTATCTGATACGTGTACTGCTTCTGGATCGCCCGGTCGATGAGTTGACCATCCGAATGCGAACGAATGTACTCTTGCAGGTCCGTCGGCAAGTACTCGAATATCAGATATGTGTACTTCTCCTCCAGCACGAACTCGTCCAAAGCCACGATGTTCGGATGCGCCAGCTCTTTGAGCAACGATATCTCTCGGACTGTCGTTGCCGGGATTCCTTCTTCCCCGTCCGGCGTGCGGATCTTCTTCATCGCCACGTATTTGCCAGTTCTCTTGTCCAAGGCCTTGTAGACAACTCCGTACGTCCCCTCGCCGATCTTCTGGATGCGCTCGTAATTCTTCAGGACGTCTTCGCTGCTCGTATCCTTCGCCATTGCTATTCGGAAAAACCGCTGGTCGTTGGTAGCCTACCACTTTAAAGTTGAACACCCGCTGAACTGAGAATAACGTGCGCGAAGCTGTCCTTATATAGTATCCTTGTATTACCTTCACACGCATATCATGCAAATTCTCGGAGATTTTTTGAGGGGCTCAACTCGATTCCTCGAAAATTGCTATCATTGTAATGACGTCTTGCGGGTGCGTGTGGACGCATCCTGTGATGGCGCAGTCACTGGTCAACTTTACACCCAAATGCTTCGTCCATCACACAGCGCTGCTTCTTTTCGTATTCATAACAATTGTTCATCGAATAAAACATCTTCACCTCTCTTTGTGTTACCTTTTTTGCTACATACAGCATTTCTCGGGTATCATCCCTGTACTGTTTAGTCTACTTCCCAGAGAAAACTCATACCGAGCTAAATAAAGATCGAGTGGCTCGGTCCATGCTATTATTGGGTTCAGTATTACTCCGTTCACTGATTGTCGCAAATGCCCGCAAAAAGTTGGCAAAAATTAGGAAATTTGTAGTGTCTGCTATAACAGAGCTTAATCTTGTAGTGCGAATGTACAAGACTGGCATATGTGTTCATAAGATTAATAATATTAGTGACGATATACATAAAATCATTGGCGACGTGCACCGGGCGGACCCGTTCGATCATACGTTTTACAATATTTCGTGCTGTAATGAGATTGGTCAGGAACTCACTAGCTAGAATGTGTGAAATACTGGTACTCGAAGCTCAGGAAGTTAATTATTATGCAGTACTTGGTCAGGGAACATTCCATTAAAATTTCAGCTTCCAGCTTTCTTAGTTTCCGAGTTAGCCAATTCTTCCCCAAAAATTCTCACGGAGCAGTACTTGAGAACCACGTGCAAAGAGGGGCTGAATATAGTAACTTTAAGTT